CAGACTTGGACCCCAATCCTTGAAGCCCAGGAGCAAAGATGGTATTCATCAGTGACTTAAGAATGGAGGTACACTCTGGAAAGGGACCCATAGACACAAGGGCTTAATGGGATTGTCAGTCCTAGTGCCTATATCCTTGTACCTTGGAACTGCACCTCCCTGGCCTCTCTACTCTCTTCATTCACCTTCCCTATCCCCATAAGGTTTGGCTTAAATCCCACATCAATTTTCAGTAACTCACTTTAGTAGGTGGTTTTTCTCCTGCTCCTCAGTTTGGTTATCTGTAAAACAGGGGAAATATACCTATTAGTGGAGGTGGCTTTGCTAAGTTAAAGGAGGTATTCTCTACAGTTGAAAAGGTCTGCAGGTCTGTTTTGCTTTGCCCCTCACCACTCCATGCTAATGCTCTGGGAGGAGCCCATGAGACTCTAAGTGAATTGCTTCCTACGTTTCCATGCTCAGGTCTGACTCATGGACAGCAAAGCCTATATCTCCTTTGCTGGTTCAGGATGCTCCCACTCAAGCAGAAAGAGTTTGGGGGACAGGAAGTGAAGGGCATGCCACCCCCATCCCTGAAAGTGTCCCAGCCAGCCCCTCTGGTCCAGCAGGCTGGAACTTGTACCCTGGCTCTTCCTTCTCCTGAAAACCCATTCCTCTGACTCTAGCCTTAAAGGAGTCATGGACTCCCACGGCAGGATGGGCTTCCCAGGCCCCTTGCCTGGCTCAGTCTTCCACCCAGGTGAGACACAGGTCTTGCTCAAGATGCCCTGGGAGGAGATGTGATGTCCCCATCTGCCTTCTCCTGGTGTTCCTGGAGGGACTGGCTCTTGGCCTGAACTCAAGCCTGACTCTCCCTGCCAAAGCACAAGAAAAAGCCCAAAAGCCTCTAGGTAATCTGTGTGACTCAGAGGGTTGCGACCTTACTAAGATGCCAAAAGGCCAAAATGATGCCTTCTTTAGCCTTTTGTTGTGGGGGGCACCAATCACATCAACTGTAAAGAGAATGATCTGATCTTCCCAGAGTGGTATAATAAGGTGACCCTACTTTTGCTCCACAGTCAGGCCAGCCTGCCACATCTGTTTGGCATCTAGCCCTTTTCCATCCTGTGGAAGAAGGGCTGACAGGAATCAGGAAGACATTGTATCATTCTCTGCTCCAGACACAGTCCTTTTACATCCACTAAGAAGCATAAAGACCTGCCCACCCATACCTTCTCAGCTCCAACCCCGACCAGAGGCATAAAAATGTACCTACACAAACATGGGGGTGCATCCTACTTATTGATATGAACGAATTTGGTGGGAATACACAGGGTCATGGTCCCACATGTTGGACATTAGTAAGGAGAACCAAAGAAAAGATGACATTGAAATCCAGCCCTTCTTTCACTTGCCAAACCACAAGCCATGGCATTGATGGGGCTACATCAACTAGAAGGATTCACAAAGTCACTCTATGGTAAGCTGCAGTTACAGGATGACAGGCACGCACACATGATATGTGAGCAAGATATACAAATCCATAGTTGTGTGTGTGACCTGTTCCCTCCTAGTGCCACCCATGTGAGGAGAGAGCAATCACATGGATGCACATATGTCCTTGTGTGTGACTGCTGGTGGTTAAGCACCCATATTTTTCTTCTGTATTGTTTCCCAGGCCACATTCAGCTGTCACGGGCCCAGGCTGGGGCAGGGTGAGGGTTGGGGGCTGTGGGCTAGGGGAGTGCTATTTTCTTTCAGTGCCGGTGAATTCCTGCCTTATACTGCCTAAACAGCCCCGCTTGATGCAGTGAGAGGCTGAGAAACATGCCATAGGGTGGAGGGCAGAGAGATACCTGACAGGGGTGTTCCCTGACTCCTATAACTTGTGGCTTTGGCTCTGGCACCAGGAGTCTAGCATTGTCTTGAGTCACAGGCTGACAAGAGGGCCAGTAGGCAGGCATTGGGTCATCATGGCTTCCTGATTCATCACAAGCCTGAGGGAAGTGGTAACTCAGGTCCCATTTTCACATAGATACATACATATGCCCACTAGCCTCTGAGTCAAAGGCTATAGCAGCTTCATGTATGGCTCCATGCTTGTCTAAAACTAAGGCCAGGATCTCATGTGAATGGGATTTTGTAAGCATGTAAGAATTCAGTGTCATGCTCACAGTGGTACAATTTGTAACAGACAAATTTTGGTAACAACCCAAGTGCCTATCAACTGGTGAATGGATAAAGAAGATGTGTGTGTTTTTTTTTTTAATACAGTGGAATGCTACTATACCCTAAAGAAGAATGCACTGGAGACATTTCTAGGAAAATGGATACACCTTGAGTCCATACTCCTAAATGAAATAAATGACACATATGTGTAAATACCACATTGTCTCTTTGGAGTGAGAAACTAAAAGTGTAAATAAAAACCAGAATGCATAATAGGCATTGTGAAATAGCAGGAAAGTGTTCAAATGGGGAGGAGAATAAGGGAGACGAGAGAGGGAAAGGAAAAAAGACAAAAGTAAAAAAAAGGAAAACATGGAAACAAAGCATTGTAAATGGGGAAGAGAAGAGGAGTCAAGGAGAAGGGAGGGGAATGGGGAGTAAAACAAATTATACCATGTACAGGTACAAATTCTCTATGATGAATGTGATCATTATGTGTATTAAAATGCACCAGTAAAATTGAATTTAAAGAAAAGAATTCAATGTCTCTAGGGCAGTGTGTAATTGCAAGCTCTAGGGTGTTGGGTTTATGTGTTTGTGTTGCATGTGTGTGCATGAATTCACACTACTGCCAAACCTTATCCCTGTGGGTATGACCTGGTCTTAAACCAAAAGAATCTCACTGTTGACAGCCATTCTTCAAAGGACAAGTCCCTAAAGTCATTTGCCTATCTCCACTAAGTCTCTCTGGAAAATGTGGCTTCTTTGTTCTCCTCTGGCAATGCTGCCAAAGAGACTCGGATATGAGGACAGAATCTTTGCTTCCAGTCCCATGGAAGCAGGGCCCAGGCTTGTAAGCCTCAATTTTCTGCTGGGCGTGGTGGCACACACCTGTAATTCTTGTACTCAGGAGGCTGAGGCAGGAAGATCACTGAAAGTTCAAGGCCAGCCTGGGCTAATAGGAAGTTCAAGACGAGCCTGAACTACATAACAAGACTCTGATTTTTTTTTTCTTTTTATTAAAAGATGACAGGGGTTGGAGGGAGAACAAGAGAAAAATGACAGATGGCTACTCTGGATGAGTAGGGAGAATTCAAAAGTGAATTGCTCTGACTTTGTCTTAAAATAAAGCCTCAGTTTCCTGGAAAAAAAGGTTTTTTTTAATTTTTAATTTTTAATTTTTTTTTTACATACTGGGGACTGAATCCAGGGCCTTCAAACTGAGTTACATCCTCAGTCCTGCCCCCCTGTTATAAAATAGGGTCTCACTATGCAGTTCAGGCTGGCCTTGAACTCAGTGATTTTACTGCTTCAGCCTTTTGAGAGTTGTGATTACAGACCTGTACCAACCCGTTCTTTTTTCTTTAAATTTTTTATTTATTTATTGTGTGTGTGTGTGTGTGTGTGTGTGTGTGTGTGTGTGTGGCCAGTTCAGCCCACCAGGGGGTGGGGCTGGCTGGCATGTGGTGCTGGGGGATTGAACCATCCCTGTGCTTTGCTAAGCTTGTTCTAAGTAGGTGCTTTAGACCACTGAGCCATCTCCCAGCCCCCAACCCCAGTTCTTAAATTTTTTTGAGACATGATCAGTAAGTGTTCTGGCACCAACATATGCCTTCAAATCAATTTCCTGATATTTAAATACAATTTAGGGATGGGGGTATGAGGGTAGAGTGCACATGAGGCCCTTGGTTCAATGCCAACACTGAAAATAGAATAGAGAGCAAAATTGTTCCAAATCTCCCTCAGATGGGGCTGACTCTCACATAGTTTGGCCAGTTTACTTATTTATTATTTATTTATTTATTTATTTTTAAGGGACAGTGTCTTCCTAGGTCAGGAGATCATCCAGAGCAAGTAAGGAGAGGGTTAAAAACAACTGGAACTCAGACTTCTGCTAAGACGTAGCACATGGCATGTCCTACATGGGACAACTGCAGCTCAGCCTCTGCAACCATGGAAGCAGTGCATAAAGACACACATGTGACAAGCTCAGGTAACCCTGAGCAACAAGCATACGCACAGTCAAGAGGAATGTCAGCAAGTATGACCAGGCAGGAGGGACAGATGTCATGTATGACACAGATAGCCAACATATGCCACACATGTTCTCATTTGTGCCTTAAGAAGGCACCTGAACTCCTGATGGAACTTCCCCCGACCCCCACCCTGTGTTGTTTGCCCATCTGGGCTGCACTGTGAGATCTCACGTGGGGTGCACAGCTCCTTACTTTGGGCCTTCTGAGGACCTGCTGCTGGGTCCAGTCATCCCAGAAACACTGGATCGGGTTCCTTTACTTTCAGTCACATGTCTTCCTAGGGGAGGGGGATATCCACACCGTTCACTGTGAATGGGCCCACACTAGGTCGCTTTATTTATTTTTTTTTTAATTTGTTTTGGTTTATTTTTTAATTATTTTTGGACAGGGTCTTGCTGTGTAGTTCAGGCTAACCTTGAACTCATGGCAATCCTTTTGCCTCAGCCTTCCCGGTGCTAAGATTACAAGCGTGGGCCATGCGGCCCTCTCACACAGACTCTTCCTTGCTAGCTCCATGTCATCTAGGCTCCCCACAAGCCGTGTAACCCGTAACCCACGCCCGGCCGGCTCTCAGGTCCCGCTACCTCTGGCCTCTGTGGCCTCCCTCCTCTGAGGGCCAGCCCCCTCCAAAGCTCCTCACACAGCCCCACCCTCCTCACCAGCTGCCCCTCCAGCTTCCCCACCAGCATCCCCAGGCTAGGTGGTGGGCGGTGGCCGTCTCCGCAGAGCCTAGAGGGCGTGGCGCGGGCCGGCAGGCGTGGCTGGCCTCTGAGGACCTATAAAGGGCAGGGCGCCAAGCGCTCCTGGCCACTGCTCGCAGCACTGCCACGCCGGCCACCCACCTGCCGACACACACAGAGCCATGGGGCGACAGAAGGAGCTGGTGTCACGTTGCGGGGAGATGCTGCACATTCGCTACCGGCTGCTTCGACAGGCGATGGCTGAGTGTCTGGGGACCCTCATCCTTGTGGTGAGTAAGGAGAACTGCTTGGCTCTCTCTCCCGGCCCCCTGGGTCCCACAGCACAGGTAGGACTTGTTCCAGGACAGCCCTAATCTGGCTCCCAGCTCCTTACCCAGGCTTAACCCTGGGGGCTGAGGTGATCCCCTGAAGCCTTCTTTCCCAAAGCTCTAGCCCCAGCTTTGACTCCAATCTGTCAGGAGGACAGCCCTGAGACGGGAGGATCATTGCAAGCTGGAGGACAGCCTGGGGGACTACAAAAAGTTAGCACTGGGCCAGCCTGAACTACATAGTGAAACCCTGTCTCAAAAAAAAAAAAAAAAAAAAGCCTGCCCTTCTCCCTTAAGGGTGACCCAACTCATAGGCTGCAGAAAATGCACCCCCCTCCCTGCCCCGTGGGTGCAGTCTGGAGCCACTTGCTCTTTCCTCTTACCTCCCAAAGCCCAGCTGGTTCCTAGTCCCAGTCCTGGGAGGCAGTGGCAGGCAGAAGTAAATGGACCCCCTATTGGGTTGTTTGGGTTCTGGGTGTCTGCCCCCTAATAAATAATTAAGCCTCAGAAAGTCCAAAAGTTGCAGTGAAGTCAGGGCAGCTTGCCATGAATGGGGCAGAGAGTGCAGGCTACATGGCTCACAAAAGGTAAAGCGGAAGGGAGAAAGGGCCTACCTGGAGCCTAGCAGAGGATGTGCTGGCTCTGAAGGTTGCTTCCCCAGCAGAGAGACTTTCAGACAGGCTGTCAGCTTCTGTGCACAAAGTTGCTGCCCCACCACTGATTCTCTGAGTGAGATACTTCTCCTGCCTGGCTTTCTTCTCAGTTTCAGTTACTCCTTGTTTCCACCAGTTTTACTTTCAGAGTGTTCCTGGGTGACTCCGTGCTTTTTGGATGTGGCAGATGCACCAGTTATAGCTTTTACACTTCCTGTCCCAGTTATTCTCATGTTCAGCCTCGCGTTTGTTTTTATCTGTTTTCCTCTGGGTTGCTTCAATTTGATTGTTCCATTGCAGTGGGAAGATTACTCTTTCCGGCCCCAGCCTCAGTTCTAAGTAATAGACCACAGCCCCCTGGCAACTAGGAAGCTTAACTAGGGGGTTAACTAGGACTCAGGAAGTGGTGGGGGTGGGCTGGGCTCACACTATGGCTTCATAGGCCTGGTGGCCATAGACACTCTCCCTATCCCCATCCTAAGTATCAGTTTGAACCTCTACCCCCCAAAACGGAGCAGCCAGTTCTCTCCCTGAGCCCCAGGATCCTTTGGCTTATCCTAAACCACAAAAGGAGGGTGTTAAGCTCAGATGGATGAGAGGCATCAGGTGTCAGTCAGTGAAAAGCAGAACCTCAGGGCAGCCCAACAAGCTGGAAGGCCATGATCACATACCTCTAGGGGTTGGAAATCTAGAATAGCAGCAGCAGGATTAGGGCTGGCTTTGGAGTGAGGGAAGCCCCTTGCTCTGAGGTACCTGGCAAGACACCTGGTAAGACCAAGAACTTGGGGGTAGGGGGGTGGGGAAGGAAGAGGAAGATTAGCCCCAATGTGGTAGAACTGGCTCTGACAGCTCCTCCCTCCAAGGCCTCTTGGGATGGAGCCAGGTCTGGGCCTCAGGCAGGCAAATTGCTGAGGCCAGTGCCTGGCCTGGCAGAGTGCCCGAGACCTCCATGTGTCTGCCCTACCCCCTTTTCCCCTACTCACAGTCTCTGATCTTTGCTCTCACCTGCCCGTGCACCTTTGCCCTGCACCACCACCCCTGGCTTCCCCACTATCTCTTGGTATTTCTGACAGATGATAATAAAATGCTTAAGAACTCAGTACACAGGCACTGACCCATTAGAATGCAAGGACCCTAAGCACAGTTCTAGAAACTGCCTGCTGGACCAGCATAGCACCTTTAGTTATAGGAAAGTAGAAGCAGAGACCTGGAATAGGACTTCAGTCACTTTGGAGTTTGCTGGGCGCTCAGGGCAGTAGCTTGTGAGAGCTAATGCAGAAGTATTTTCACATTTGAACAAGGGGCATAGACACACAGTACATTCTATACTCACAGAACATTATGCATCTTAGTCCCTTTTGAGCTTTCTCTATCACTGGCAGTATGTTCAGAATAGTCTCCCACTTTCTCTGCCCTGGGACTCCGAGAGGAGCCAGTCAGAGCCTGTGTTAATGACTTCCATAGCTGAGTGGAGATCCTGGATCTCTGACAGCAGAAAGATCAAGGCGGGTGGAGAGAAGGTGCTGGGACAGGGACAGGCCAAGCAGGGGGAGTGTGCTGACAAGGAATGTGGTGAGCCCAGGGCTCTGACCTCCTAGACTCAGAAGTGGATTTCACTACTTCTAGGCTCTTCCCGTGCACTAGTGTCCCACCACCACCACCACTACCACCACCACCACCTCCTTAGGGCAGCTGAAGGATGAGGGAGACTTTCCTCCTCTGTGGGCCAGGCCTGAAGAACTAGAGAAGGAGCCTTGCAACAGAGAAAGCTGGCCCTCTACACCCCCTTGGGATTCAAGGAAAACCAATGATGATAGTTCAGTTACCTTCTAAGCTGCCAGTCATAGACCTGCTTCCGTCCCCTTCATAGGATCCTGTAGGAGAGCTTGCACAGGAGGGTGACAGGGCACCTTTCCTTTTACTGTACATGCAATCACAGCAGAAGGGATTTGCCCTGGATTCTAGGAAGAACCTCCGTCTTCTGGTGCTGGCAGGTGGAGGTTGCTGGCTCTACTTCTTCCCTCCCTAAGGGAGAGTTGCTGAACCTAAGAGGGACCTCACTCTCTCTTCCTTGTTCTGTTTCCTGACACAGATGTTTGGCTGTGGCTCTGTAGCCCAGGTGGTGCTCAGCCGGGGAACACACGGTGGCTTCCTCACCATCAACCTGGCCTTCGGCTTTGCTGTCACCCTAGGTATCCTCATAGCTGGCCAGGTCTCTGGTAAGTCCTTACCACCATCCATACAGTCTTTTTTTTTTTTTTTTTTAATTATT